TCCTTAGTCCTTCGTCTACTGTTTTGTCAATGGGCAAGACACTTCACCAAATGGTAAAGGGTGATTGTCACTGGTGGGGACAAGAAAGACAGTCAGCAGCCAAGTCTACGAAGCTATAATCTATGACATGCATTGATCATAATGTTATCATTTGGACATTTTAAATCACAATATTCATCTAAAACAAATGAATCAATAAAACATGTTTGCTGACTTCTGCATTAGAAATATGGTGTCTTGAAAATAAACTATTAAAGATTGCTCAAACATGCACAAATCACTCCAAATACAACTTCTAGAGAGTAAATTGTGAAAGGAAACAACTATAACAGTTAAAAGTTCTAAAAGGTTGATTAATAGGTCTGCTTTAAACTTATCTACCTCCACATAGACAAGCAGGTGGGGCTTACAGGTCAGGTCTGTGAAGAGGCGACCCCTGCTCAGAGTAAGAATGCATGTAAAATTATATGGAACATGACCTGCAATTAATTTTGATTGTCATGCCATTTTGATTACATTCCCGGTTTCCAATTTTCAAATCCAGACAATTTAGAGGAAGACTAAAGTATAAATGGCTAAACTAGTAAAGTAAAATCGAGTATTTCAAAATATGTTTATGAAGATCTGAACTATAAGGTAAGTCTATATATTATTGTTAGTATGGGACATTACTTAATTTGACCTCAGTTTTAGCCTTTTTGCTTGGCTCACTGTGACCATTCAAATTCCAATTTCTATTTGGAAACTGCACCAAATGAAAGTTCTCCCAACAGAGCTGTATTGTTGTGAGGTATAGTCCATATAAACTCCTCGCCCTCCTCTTGCTCCCTGATCCTCTCCACTGCTCAAATATCATCTCCTCTGTAGCCGAGGGGCAGCCATTTTTCATGTCGCCATGACAATGTAACTATGCTTTTTTTTTTCTTTATTCGTTTGAGCGCTGCCACAGTTAGCTTGATAAATGGGAATGCAATGGCCACAGTGTCCCTGGGAACACTCTTATACACATTCCAGATCACTTTACATGCTAATTACCCACCAGCCCCCTGTACAAATATGGCTGCTCATATGTGTTGTTATGGTAGAGGTTAAGAGGTCAAAAGGGGGCTAAACGCTCCACTCAAATTATTTCTGGTTTGACCTCTAGAGGCAGTAGTGACATTTACATAGACATACAGGGCAAATATAGAGCCACAGAGAGACTGTTTAATCTCAGAGTGCAGCAATGTGAGGGAGAGAACGGGTGAAAGGTGGGTTAAGAAGCCAAAAGTGTTCAAAGTAAAGTCAAAGTAACGCCACAGTTACCAAAGAAGAAAGTATTTTTTAAATCAGAATGAATAGCATTTGTGTATCGCGGAGAACAAGCGAGCTAGTTGCGTCATTATTGTTGTCAATGCTACAATTCTAAAATTTCAAACTCACAAACTTGAAATACTAACTTTCAAACGTAATAGGCTACTTTCTTAAACAATATCATGTGGTCTTATATAGATCCGAGATCCTAGCTCAAGATCCTTCTGAAACTATTCAGCAATGGTATTATTTTGTATTGTTGTTGCGTTTTTAGTCAAGTGTGATGGATGAATTTAACAAATTGTTTAAGGAACAAACCTACTCTGCACTGGAGCACTGTAACACTTTATTTGTATTTTGTAATTGTGTTTTTATACGTGTTTATTGCACATAATGTGGATGAATGAAATGTGAAATGTGGGACCTGCCTCTCAAAGCTGCAAAACTAATTTACCTACAGGTACGAATAAAGCAACATAACCTAACCTAGTGGAGGTATGTGAGAATCTGCATACAGATGTTCGCTTTAATTTCCCATTGCAAAAAAATTTGCTTCTGCATTTGACGCATTATATAAATGATTGAACCAGAATCCTGAATCTATATTAATAATAATATTATTATAATAATAATAATATTTCTTTCCTCTCAAAAACAAAATAAAAATATCTTTTATTATTCACTTCATCAAAATAAACAATACAGACTTTCAATTATTGTTATTTAGCACATAAATAGTCCAATTTCTTCCTTGAAAGTCTGAACTCTGCTCCAAACTACATGACAGAGCACTGCCTTCAGACCTCTAGATTAAAATCACCCAAGCAGATCATTGACAATTAGGCACCGATTCTCAATCTCTATTAAAACGTGATCAACACAGCTCATCTGTGCGTCCCTCTGTAGTGTTCCAGGTCACGGCGCTGTCTCAGTTTCTCTAAATGTCAAAGTCACTGAACTCAAATCATCTGCAGGTTTATGAAGCGAGATACTGCCCTGATCCATCAAGACACATGTGGGTCCTCCTCATATCTGCACTGTTTCCACTCTATTTCACCAATGCTTCAGAGAGAGGGGAGGAGGAGAGTGCAAGAAAAGAAACAGGAAGAGAGAAAGAGAGAGAAAAAAATAGAAAAGTGAGAGAAAGAAACAGAAAAGAGAGAAAGAGTGAGAGGAACGGCCGGAGGAGAGAAGAGGACAAGAGGGTAAAGTAGGAGAGGGAGAAAGAAAGGAGAGAGGCAAGGAGGAGAGGGGGAGAGAGCAAGAGATGCTGGGTGGTAGAAAAGATAGAGAGAGAAGAGGAGAGTAACAAAATTGAGCAAAATAGAAGAGTGGGAGTGGGGAAAGACGACAGCAAAGACAGAGGGGGAGGCAAAGAGAGAAAAATGAAAGAGAGGGATAGAAAGATTGAGAGAAAGGGAGGGAGGAGAGAGAAAGTCCACACTACGGGAACTCGATTGAGGCGGATGAGGTTTCTGAAAAAAATCATTAATAATTCAAACAGAGTCACTCCATAAGCCGGGTACAAATAACACAACATCCACGAACACAACACAGCCCTTTGGAGAAACTACAGGGAGATTTTTATGTCACTTTAAGAGAAGGACAGGGTGACAATATTCTGTGATTTTAGGTTTACATTTGTGCAGATTTTAGTTACTTTTATCAGTTTAAAAAGTACAAAATGCCATACTGTACAACATTCCAGACAAGGCAATTACATCTTTAGAAACACATGGATATTTGTGACTTTAAAGGTCCTATATTACGCAAAATGGACTCTTATAAGCTTAAAGTCATGTCATAATGTTGTTACCTCATCAAAAACATACCTGGAGTTGGGTTTGTTTCATTGAGCAATCTTTTATTATTAGTCTGTCTACATCTCAAAAGCTCAAAATGTTCTGTTCCACCTTGTGCTACCAGCTACCTTTTACCTTTGGTGCAGTAGTAATTTGGTTCAGTGGAGATTGGTATTTCCAGGGATGATTCTTGTGAAGGGGTGTGGAGTTTAAAAATACAGTGGAGCACTTCCTGTATTACCACATGACATCACAAGGTGGAACAGGGTGTTTTTCAGTTTGAGGTGAAGAACCTAAACATGCAGGATTTCTGTGTTAAACGTGTTAATCATACAAAACACAACTCCAGGTATGTTTTTGATAAAGCAAACAACATTATATAAAATAGCATAATATGGGCCCTTTGAGGTCGGGGTCTACCACCTGCTTGCATAGATGTTATTGCTTTAACTGGAATGTTCCACAGTATGGCTTTGAAGACAATGACATTTCCATGGAAAGAAGCACTCGGTGGACCCTCATCAGTAAAGTTACATAGGGCACCACTGAGTATAGTCTAAGCCTGGACTAAACCTGGATTCTAACATGGACCGGAACTTAATCAGAAAATTCAAGGTGCATTGTGCAACTTTTCTAGTGGAGGAGACACTACCTAATTGTCTCCATGGAGATATTGATTTGCCTGGAATGTTCCATGGTATGGCATTAAACATAAACATCTAGCAAGTGTTTCTATTGCATAAAAGTAGAATATTCCATCTGTGAATATGGGTGATTCTCCACAGATCTGACTTGTAATGTAACACAGTGCTGTAATCTGTTTGTCTCACTTCTGATAAATAGGTTTAATCTATACTGTGGAACATTCTAAACAAAGCAAATCCATTTCTGTGGCGACTATGAGGTGGCGGACCTTCCACTAGAAATGTTACGCAATGCAATACCTTTACTCAGGTTTAATGCGGTTTAGTCTACTCCTACAGGTCTAAACAAATAAATCAAGATTAAATCAGGTTTAAATCATATACAAGGCAGGTCTACGTCATTTTACATATTATCTTGGCCAGATATAAATTTAGAATCTTGATTAAACCAGACTAACAAACAAGCCTAAAGTACATAAGGTGCCAGACTGACCTAGGAATAAAACTAGAACTAAATCAGGCTTAAATCACATCTAAACCAGGTCTAGTCTCAGGTCTTTATCTTGTCTAAACCAGGACTAAACCAGAACTAAACCAGGACTAAACCAGAACTAAACCAGGACTAAACCAGAACTAAACCAGGACTAAACCAGGACTAAACCAGAAATAAACCAGGACTAAACCAGGACTAAACCAGAACTAAACCAGGACTAAACCAGAACTAAACCAGGACTAAACCAGGACTCATCAGTCTACATCAAATACAAAATAAAAAAAAACAGGCTTAAATCACATCTAAACCAGGATTAGACTAGGTCTAAATTTGTACTAAATCATGCTAAACTACCAGAAAAACTGTAAGACCCAAAAGAAGCAACACTCATGATAATAAATTCTAAAGTGCGATATCTTGCTTGATAAATTTCTGCCACCAACACAAAAACCAAAGAGCAGATTTAAATCACAAAAAACTTTCTAATTGTATAATATTGTAAAAAAAGATGAGCTACAATAAATTACCAGAGGAATTGAAAATGCTGTAGTTACTTTGCATCTGTAATGAGTCATAGAAGTTATGTATTCAACCTTTTACAAGTTATATCTTATTGTACAGGCAAAAAAAATAACAAAAAAAATCACAGTAGTATATACACAATAAATACTGATCCCTCCCCCAAAAAAATAATGTTCAGGCTTTCATATATTACTCTGTATAGATCACCACATCATAATAACCCATAATGCAACAGAGTCTACTCACAATCTCTCCGTTCCTTTGGGGATGTTTTTGGGCACCGCTTTGATCCCCAGGCCGTGACAGTCCACCAGTGTCCCCAGGCAGGTGCAATGAGCTGGGCATGCCTTCGCCGTGGACTCCCCCTGTCCTACCACCAGAGCCAGCAGCATGACCACAAGTCCTCCCCCTCCAATCCACCCCATCCTAGTAAACAATGTCCCTGAAAAATGGCAAAACTGTCAATTCTTCAAGCTTGTTCAAGTTTAAAATCCAGAAATTCTGCTCCAAAAATAAACCAAAACTTCAAATTGTTAATTCAAGGCAATGTAATGTCTGTTAATTTGTACCTAGATTGTATAAAGGAAGGAATATAACGTACTAAGACTCAAGTTTTGTCCAGTCCGCTGTATATCTAGTGGAGAATAATAGTAGGAGCAGTAGCATGGAGTGGTTGTCTCATTGAAGCATTGTGCAGAGGAGAGGGAGCAGAGCCGTACTATAAGGGGAATGAGAAGGGGAGGGGTGATCTGTCCCTCTATACACACTCACATAATAGAAAAGAGTGGTCCATCGCCATCAAGAGCAAATAACACAGCACTTTAGACTCCGCCCACTACTCGCACACACACACAGGTTGGGTTTACACACTTTTGGGGACATTACATTGACTTGAATTTCTCTGAAACTGATCCTAATCTTAACCATGATTACTACTTGCCTATTTTTAAAGTAACACCATGTAACTTTGTGTACTATACTTTGAAACATTCATCCATGGAGATAAATAAGGATTAAACAACAAACAGAAGTGGTCTACAAATCAAACTGTAAATAGTTCACTTTTAAATCTGACAGCATTTTTTTATTGAAGCTAGTCCCTCCTATGGATAATACATTTGTTTACCAGCTTTGACAATGATTAAGAGTTGCAGGACAACCAAGATAAAGGTAATAGGCTTTATTTATCCCAAAGGAAATTCATTACGTGTGCGGTTATATAAAAATAATGCATGGCAAATACATAAATAAGAGTTTTGCTGAGATGCAAGCCTGCACAGAGGAAAGACACAAGTTTTTCTGTGTTTTTCCGTGCAATAAAAAGGGAAAAAAATGCAGGAAACATTTATTAAATTTCATGCTTAACCTTAACCTGTTGTTGATCTAATATTAAAAGATCAATCTCATGAAGACCTGATTTTTGGTTACTACAAAGCAGAAGGTTCCCATAAAGTGTGACCATAGTTTGAGAAACACGTGTATAGATATAAATATGTAATTGCTCTGAGACACGTGCCTCTGAGCTGAACTGTCTCCTTGGTCTCCACAAATAAATGACAAAAATGTTCATGAGATATTTAGAGAGCATTGTATCCCCTTAGACCTGAGAACATCTCAAAGTGTCTTTTGTTCTAATGTAAACTTTAACAGCTGAGCTCATTTCCATAAATCAACACTACGACAACTAAGACACATTCTGTTGGGACAAAAATCAAGTTTAAAGATGGGGTATTCCACTTTAATAGGGTATTAATTGCTAACACATAACATATTTAGATCACCATGTTACCTTTTATTGTTTTAAAAATGCTATATCTGCTGTTAACACGTTATAAATTTCACTTCGGATTTTGGCTCTAGTTCCTTTGCTCCCTGCACTGTGTCACTCCCCCTTCAGAGTGAAATTACAACAGAATCAGCGGGAGTCCAGCTAATGGAACTACTGCACATCACAAGTTGCTGTGTACAGTTTTGTATCATGTTTTTGTATATTTATGGAGAATTGTTGTTTGAGAGCATGACTGATGTAGGGCTGAGCATTTGACTCTCACACCCTCACACCTTTGGCTTTGGGCTTTGAAAAGATAACTAAAATACTCAAACATTAATAAATTACATATAAACCCTCTTCAGGCATGTTTTTGATGAGGGAAAATGTTATAACATTAGGGATGGTACAAGGTTTTGTGCCACAAGATCTCGTGAGACAAAATTGCCATAAGATTGCTCACACACGAGAAAAACTATCTTGTGACATTTTTTGTGTTTTTTGTGTTTGTGTTTTTTGTGTTTACATTTGGATTAGACAAAAATGCATCAACTACTGGTGAGTTACATCTTTTACAGTCCCAAAACAAGTACCGGAATGGAAACAAAAATATGAAATCAAAGAAATTAATGTACATAGTAGGAATTATGTTAAAATCTCGTCTTGTCTTGTGCTTGTGGACCCAATCTCTCAATATCTCGTCTCATTTTGTGGAAATTATATCTCGTCGTAGCCTGATATAACATGGCAGAAAACAAAAACAAAAAAAAACAAAAAAAAAACAAAACAAAAAAAAACTAAGAAGAAAGCGAGGGGGCAGAGAAATGGAAAAAGAGAGAAGAAAAGAGGAGGGGCCATATAATAAAAACTTAGTATTTTCTTTTCATTAAACCCATATTGGTGATTAAATAATTATGTCCCCATGTCCCATAGGGTAATTAAAATGATGCAGTAGCAGCAGTAAGCTAAGAAGACCACTGACATTACAGCCAACTATTTGTACACACAAAACTGATTTTAACTTCTATGAAAACCTTTGCAATTTTCAACATTTCAGGAAACCATTAAAAGCCTTTAGGTCAGGCATGTCCAAACTATGGCCCGTGGGCCAAATGCGGCCCTCAGAGGAATTTTTATTGGCCCTCAGGCTTCCAGGGGAATTGGCCCAAATTACCTTGCATCAATTAAAAATGAACGTTTTACTGCAGGATTTTTGAAAATCTACCTTGATAAAGCTAATATTTAATATTAAGTGTGTGGTTTTAAGGATCTTAGCATGAATAAAGACTGATGGCACATTCTAACGTGTTAAACATGCACATATTTCAATTATTCACTGTATTGAGCACCAGTCTACAGCCCTCGATCAGTCCTTTGCTTTGTCTCTGTTTAGATATGTGTCCCTTCATGAAAAAAGTTAGGACACCCCTGCTTTAGGTGGTTTGAACCATAGACACACTATGGTTTCAACAACTCTACTGACCTCTGGTGGACGAAAGAGGCACTTCTGCAACTTGTGTTAGAGCCTGTCTTTGGCAGTTTACGATTGTGAAGAAGAAAGACGTTTATTTTACCAGTAACTGCTAAAAGATATGGAGGCAGAGAACAGCACACTCACCTGACCGGACCCGTGCAGGAAGCTTCACAGGACGAAGGAGAGCCATGGAGATATAACATAATAATACCCGCTCACTTTCTCTCAATAAACAGAGATGGTCCTCCTGTCCCCCAACTATTATTCTTGCCTTCTTCATATTTACCACACCGCATTCACCTCGGTCGCCCAAACAAAACAAAAACAAAAAGGCGCACAAGTAAAGAAAAAAACGCGCACATGGATAAAGGGGTGTGTCACACTAAAGAATATCCCGCGCAACAGGTAGGATATGGAACTCCGTAAAACATCATTTATAGTTGAAATAGTGGGTGAATTGGGTAAGTAAAAAAATGAACGGGGAAATAATTAATGAATATGTTGTTTTCTTTATTTCTTGTTGGCTTAAGGGACTTTGACAGCTCTTGGTTCAAGTTCAATTTATGAACTCACAAGCATCGGGGGAATTGCTTTGCTGTGCAAATGCAAAGAGGTTGAACAGAGTTTATTCTACCAAAGGTAGAAAAGTTATATATAAACGGAAAAGATGATAAAGCAGCAACTGAGGAGTGGTCTGTGCAGAAACAGAGAGATAGCTCAGTGGTGTAGTAAGATCAGAAAGCAAAAATCCATAATCTAGAAAACTATTAGTTTCACAGTGTGTTGATTTTCTTTTATTTATAATGAAAATAGAATGCCCATACCATCTGCCCCCATCACTAGGATATAGAAACTGAATAAAACCCTACATATACGCTAAAAGAATATTTAACAGTGAGTCACTATTGGCCTTGATAGAAGAAAACAGGAGAGGATTTCTCTCTCTGGTTAGTTGGTATATATAGCCTCATCAGGAGACCTTCGTATGTTCGGCTGGGGTGTTATCTGCAACACCCAAGCTCCACAGGATACAGTACTATCACACCTTGTGTTTACCCTGTACATGTTGAACTTGAGAGCTGTGTCACTAAGTGCACTAATCTATAATATTGTTAAAAAAAACAAAACAAAAAAAAGGTCGGCAATACATAAATAGCCAAATGAAACACTTTAGTACTTAGTTTGCATCTGTAATGAGTCATATAAGTTATTAATTCAACAGTTTAAGGCTTAAATCTTATGTTGTCAAAATAAACAAATAAAATTAGTGCTGTCATGCGATTAAAAAAATTGAGAGATTAATTAATTATGATCTGTAATTAATTAATCTAATTAATCTCATTTTAATCTCACCTAAAAATTGCTGAGAAAAGCCTTCAATTTGAGGTATTTTCATTTAAATTCATTATTACATTATTGTGGCAGATCAAAAGACTGATATAGATTTAAAAAAGTGACTTTATAAAGTCATTTATTGTTTAACAAATCTCTTCAAATTGGCTGTTGAGCCCAAGTCTCCATGAATAAGAAACTGTTGTAAAGTAGCAAAGACGAGGAAATCTGAACATAATAACTTTTGTCTACTTAAAGACAATAAGAAGTCCAGTCTTTCCTTAACCATATTAAAAATATTATTGATAGAGAAATATATATGAGATCACTGGTTTTAGTCCTGGTTTAGACCTGGTTTAGTCCTGGTGTTAGTCCTGGTTTAGCCCTGGTTTAGACCTGGTTTTAGTCTTGGTGTTAGTTCTGGTTTAGAGGCGCACAGGAGGAAGCGCGGTTTACGCCGCGTACGCGAGAAAACACGATCCACACGCAGCTCACGGGAGGACAGCGATGTCCGCGCAGTAACTACGGAAGGAAACGTGGTCCGCACGTTCTCAGGTTAATGACGATGATGAAGGTGTGTGTTTGTTTGTGTGTGTTTGTGTGCGTGTCCCCTCATGTGGCAGGTCACTATAGGACAGTAGTGCAGACATCATGAGCCTATGCAGGTTGTTTTCAGGCGATATTATATTTGTTATTTTCTTTTATATTTCACGTCGGGAGAATAATTTCCAAGACACGAGTGCGTTTTTACCTGTGCACTGCTGCCTCTGTTCTACTGGCTCTTCGACCTCGTCCATTGTGCGACTGATACCGCCAACGTTAACATGAAGTTTACATCGCTCTTACTGCGCGCGTTTTGTGTGGCTTTCCGGCAATGAGTGGAATTACCGAAATAAAAAAATGTATAAATGTGTTTTGTGTGTGTGTGTGTGGTTGTTGTCCCAACAACACATAAAAACAGGTTTTATAATAAAGAAACTCACATACAGAAACACTAAAGTTAGAGATTAAAAATGAGATTAACGCGATTAAAAAAGATAACGCGCTAAATATGACTGTAATTAATTCATCGCAATTAACGCGATAATTTGACACCCCTAAATAAAATAAAATAAAAATAACCATAAATTGCAAGTGTATGTCTGCATGATTTACATTGCATTGGTTCATGTTTGAAATTACACTTTTTTTTTTAAACAATCACTTACCACTTGAACCTGTAGAATATTATCATTTAACTTTCCTAGTAGTGCAAAGAAACAATAAAAACAGACCCCAAAAATATTGTACATGTGTAATATCTAACATGTAGGCCTTTTGAACGATAAGTCGATATACGTAATTATTGTGGTAGGCCTAACTCACACTGGATTATTTCATTTATGTTGTGATGAATTTATTTGTGCGGCAGAGGGCGCTGTACGACCTCTACATACAGAGAGAGGTAGAGGGATGTAAAGAGAGGTAGAGAGAGATAGAGAGAGATAGAGAGAGATAGAGAGAGATCTCATCCCGAGTCCGGGGACAGCCTGGCTTTGCTGCAGCAGCTCGCGCCAAACCTGCATCTATTTTTAGAAGGTGACATCAGCGGAGGACCATCCCCCGTGCGCAGGACCAGCTTCAAAGACAGTCTGAGACATGGACGGGACCGGAGGCACGTGACCCTGGAGGAGCATCATGGAGCCCCGTGCACTGCTGCTCTTCTTGTCCGCGTGCTGCCTGCTGCCCGTGGCGCGCGCTCTGCTGGGCTTCAGACCGGAGGCCACAGGAGCAGATCTGTCGGTGGAGGACGGCGTGCTTGTGTCGGCGGAGGGCAGTCGCTTCTTGCTGCGGGTGTACTTCTCTCTGCCACCGCCCGGAGCTGCCGCGCGGAACCGCAGCGCCGCGCCCTGGATCGCTTTTGTGGAGGAACCGGCCCCGGGGCGAGAGCGTCAGGCGCATCCAAAGCGGAACCTGTGCGTTGACCGCGCGGCGAGAACATCCGACATCGAGGTCCTGGGCTCGTTCCGCTCAGCATCCAGCCACAACTCTGTGCTCGTGGAGCTGTGGGCCAAAGAGCTGCGCCGTGGTGAGCACATCAAGTACTACTCCACGTGCGCCTTTGACGGGGCGCGCTGGGAGCACTATCGCACACGGGACTTCTGGGTGGCAGTCCGGGAGCGCTCGGCGACCCCCGGATTGTGGCTGCAGTTGCTCGTGAGCGCGCTATTGCTCGCGCTGTCGGCACTTTTTAGTGGCCTGAACTTGAGCCTCCTCGCGTTGGACCCAGTGGAGCTGCAGGTGCTGCAGAACAGCGGCACGAGCTCAGAGCAGAACTATGCGCGGCAGATTGAGTCTGTGCGTCGCCACGGTAACTACGTGCTATGCACGTTATTGCTTGGTAACGCCGTTATCAACGCAGCTTTGGCCGTGTGCACGTGCCAGATTCTGGGCATGACCTGGATGTCCACGCTGCTCTGTGCTTTTGCCATCTTCTTTGTAGGAGAAATCTTGCCACAGTCCGTGGCCTCGCGCCATGGCCTCGCGATCGCCTCCAAAACCATCTGGGTCACACGCCTGCTCATGGTGCTGTCGTTCCCAGTCTCGTACCCCATCAGCAAACTGCTGGACCTCGTGCTAAATCAGGAGATCTCAAACTTCTACACGCGGGAGAAGCTCTTGGAGATGCTGCGCGTGACGGACCCGTACCACGATCTTGTGAAGGAGGAACTGAACATCATCCAGGGCGCACTGGAGTTGCGCACGAAGACCGTGGAGGATGTCCTGACGCCGCTGCAGGACTGCTTCATGCTGAGCGCGGACGTGCTCCTGGACTTTGGGACCATGTCCGAGATCATGCAGAGCGGGTACACGCGCATCCCCGTGTACGAAAACACGCGCTCCAACATCGTGGACATCCTGTTCGTCAAAGACCTGGCCTTCGTGGACCCGGACGACTGCACTCCGCTCAAAACCATCACACAGTTCTATAAGCACCCACTGCACTGCGTCTTCAACGACACCAAACTGGACGCCATGTTGGAAGAGTTCAAGAAAGGTAAGAGGTCAGAGGTCAGATAGTTTGGGTTTTTGAGCTGTTTTTGGAGCAGGTTCGTCATGACTTCATCTGACACAAAGCATTTTACTTTTCAAATGCCTTGTGCTCAAAGAGATAACCTCTGGTTGAGAAACAGGGACTTCAGTATCTGCTGCAAACACAGAAAAGTAAACTTAAACTTAAATTTCTAGTTTGATTGATTTTGAACATTTATTTATGAGTGAAGTCCTGTTTGACTCTAGTAATAATATAAATTCTTATAGCAGTTCTTTTACAAGGGCTCTGTCAGTGCAGTGCAGTGTTTTGGTTTCATTCACTCAGGAGGATGTAAACAGATGGATGCTGCAGTGGGCGTGACCTCTTTGGCCAATCACAGCTCTCCTGCTCTGTCAGCTCTTTCTATTGAGACTTTATCTGGGTTTAAGAAGTAAGAACACATCTTCCAGTCTGCCAGATGTCCACGTTGTCTTTAAACTGGGTTTGAACACTGGATTATAATCAATTATAAAATATTTTCAAAAGCAATGGAGTGAAATAAGGCCTAAACCTAATCCTGCAAGATTTAAACGTAAAAAAAAAAAAAAGTAGAAGTTTATTTTTTATTTGGGATTACTGAAACCATGACATTGCTATCCTGTTTCAAACACTATCTGCAGTATGGTGTGCATTTTAGGCCTACTTATTTCAAATGGTTTCTGACAATTCAAAACATTTGATATAGACAACACTGTGTAACTTTCTGGAGGTGGCACATTACCTGCCTGATTCCATGGAAATACTAAATTAAAACCACAGTTTCCATGAGTTTCCACAAGATAGAAATGTTTTATGCCATACTGTGGAGTATTATAGCCAAAAGAACCTTTCCATGGAAACAAGCAGGGGGAGGCTGTCCTCCAGGCCAAACAAGAGTTAGTTTTGTAGGCTTTGGACGCGTTTTTCTAGATTTTTCAGTGCAATGAATTTTAGTCAGTTCAAGTTCAGTGGTGGAGCTTTAATTTAACATTTAATTTGAATTGTTTGTAGGTTCACAATATCAATACTTTCAATCTCTCTGATTATTCGTATATAAATATAAATCATTTTTTAAACCAGTTATAGGCTACTAGGATACTGGGAAATACTGGTTCTTCAGTAAATATGAGTTTGCTATGAGTTATAAGCCTCCAGTGATTTTGTCCTGTCTTATGTCATTTCCACCACATTGGAAGTGCAGTGTAACAGATGTGCTCCAAACACTCAGGGATAATCTGGGATTATAATCTGGCCCCATGTTTTAATCTGTGTTTTACCTTAAAATAGTGCATTTGAAAATGTGCCTTGAGCATTCGGAATCTCAATAATCCCACTTTACCCATACGTGTGGATTATTCCTCTAATGATATAGAAATACTTAAAGATTCGAGCTAGAGATAGTTTTGGTGCTCAATTTGGTGACGAATTTCTTTTTTTTTTTTTATTTAGCAAATTTAGCATAATAGTAGACTGATCTTTTGGTGAAGCTGTACTGTAATTGCTCTGCAACACTGCATTTGCAAGTCTATAAAACTGAAGTGTTGCCACATCTATATTTCTGGATTTTAAATAATGTCACAACAATCTAAAGGCCAATAATATTTAATACTGAAACATTTAATATTGTTAAAATGCATTCTTGTAATTCAAGAAATCAGTGGGTCTAGTTTCTGAATTTACTTTAGTTCATGTTATCAATAGGTAGGACCATTGTTCATCTAGGATTATTGTCATTAGGATATCTTGTTAATGCTGCTGGAGTTGTTTACAAAATTTCACTCTGAACAGAATTTTACTTTTTAACACATCACAAATTTAATTGCAATTGCAATGCTTGTCAGCAAAATCGCACAATTTTTTTTTTTCCCCAAAATTGTGCAGCCCTAGTAGCCGACTAATGAATGCATTGTGTGTTTTGTTTTAGGGAAGTCCCACTTGGCCATAGTGCAGCGCGTGAATAATGAAGGAGAAGGAGATCCATTCTACGAAGTGATGGGGATTGTGACTCTGGAGGATGTCATTGAAGAAATCATCAAGTCTGAGATTCTGGACGAGACAGACCTCTACAGTACGTACACATCAGTTATTTTCACGTAATTCTTACAAGCCCAATATGAGCTGGAGGCCTGTCAGAATTGTAATGTAGAATCTGTCTTTTAACTGCTAATATATCAGTGTGGCCAAACCCTTTTGTCATTGCCCAGTCTCTGCCCAGTCTGATTCTTGAAGTTAAGCAGGATTGGGTCTGGTTAATACTTGAATGGGAGGCCACTGAGGACTGTCATTATGCAGATACGCAAGACACAAAAATACAAATACAAACTTGTCTGTGTTTTCAGCGGACAATCGCACAAAGCGCCGTGTCTCACACCATGAGAGAAAGCAGCAGGATTTTTCCATTTTCAAACTGAATGAAAATGAGATGAAGGTGAAGATCTCTCCTCAGCTGCTCCTGGCCACGCACCGCTTCCTCTCCACAGGTACTGCACCCTGCACAATAAAGAAAAAGTTATATTTGATATTTATATTTATTTATTTATTTATATCTAGTCACAACTCATCTATTGTCTAAATAAACCTCTTCATCCAAGATAAGTTTTTAACATGTCACTGTGCTGTGTGGAGCGGCCCCAGTGCTCACTAGATCTACTCCTTTCCATTATATTTGTTTATATTATTATGTTGGTTGTTTCAGCGCAGGGGTGGGGGGGAAATGGGGAAACCAAAAAAACACAACATAAATACTGTGCCCAATGTCACATACTGTAAGAATAATATTCCATGACACAATAAAATATTCATCAGTTTTGTAGTATTAGTATCAGCATTGATCAGCTGATCAAAGAACTTCTTTCCATGACAACTTTTTTTTTTCTGTCAGAGGTGGAGCCGTTCAAATCGTCTCACATCTCAGAGAAGATCCTACTGCTTCTAATCAAACACCCCAGTGTGCTCCAGGAACTGAAATTTGATGAGAAAAACAAAAGAGCTCCTCAGCATTTTTTGTTCCAGAGAAATAAACCTGTGGACTACTTCATCCTTGTTCTGCAGGTAATTTTACTTTTCCTAGACGAAATTCTTACCTCAGCAAATTGCAGTTTTTCATTCAAAACTGATCAATCATCTCCCAAAAGCAAGTTTAAACGTCAAAATGTTAAACCCTCATGAGGTGTTTTTCTGTGCTCTTTCATTCATTTGACAAAGCAGCTCAGAAGTTTTAGTCCTGCTCTCAGGGACTACAAAGAATCATTGGTTTAGTGCAGTCTGAGACTCGGGTTCAGAATTTACACATATAAAATTTGGACTGGAAAAGAAATGTACACATTAACAACTGCAAAGTAGAGTCTGTAGTATAAATATATTTATGCTAAAGAAAATTGAAAGATTTTGGAATAGCAAATACATCAACACTACTTTTGTACTGTAATGTGAGATGTATGTATTCTCTATTTTTACACAGTCTGTTCTCAGCTGAGACCCTTCTCCCTGTTTGACTCATGTGTGTAATCTTTTGGTGCTAGATTATTGATGCCCACAAATTGTAGAATTTGAGAATTCTGAGAAAGAGCCTAAGAACTGTGTGAACTGATGAGAAATGTTCCAAATGATGTGAGCACCTGTGCCCCTGTTCAGATACATGTTTAAACCAAATGATCAAACCAAGATTCAAAAAGTGTGCTACGACTGAAAAAAAAAGTAAATACATTATACAGTTTTACATACAAGGTCACATACTGTACATATTACAGTATGCCCCATATGCCATTATATTAGCATAAGGGGAGAAGTTTGATGGGGGGAAACTATTACATAATCACATATTTAAAAGCTCATAAAAGTCAATTTTTGCAATTTGTGTCATTTCTTGTAGAGATCTAAATATTCATACCATTTGACTTGAGTAAATTTTTGCAGTAGTTTAACTTTTATATTTACAATTATGGATATCTGTGTCAGTATTCTTACCTAATTTGTTTCAGGGTCGTGTTGAGGTGGAATTTGGAAAAGAGGCCTTAAAGTTTGAAAACGGTGCCTTCTCGTATTTTGGTGTTCCTGCAATAATGCCAACAGGTAAGTCTTAACTTTAAAGACAAAAAAAAAACATATCCACAGACACAACATTGTACATTTCTGCTTTAAGTTTTACATTTTAATATTGCTCAGGTTAACAGATAAATGAAGGTGATGATAACAGCTGCAGGTAGCAATGTCAAAATTTACTGTTAGGAGAGTTATGAGAGTGAAAGATCTTTTTACTTCTAAAATAGTCCCAATTATATATTTAATTTAATTTATATGATTATGTTGTAACTTAAAGAATCCCAGTTATCAATTGAATTGAATATTCTTGACATCCCTAGCTGCAGGTGTATTTCCCTGTCCTTTGCACTGACCGAGTGTGGTGATGGTACAGTCCACAGATCCCCCTCACGTAGCAGTGGATTGGACCGGTCTGACTCCATGCTTTATGGGGGCAGTATGGGACAGCTGAACGGAGGGTCAAACCTGTACTTACCTGACTACTCCGTCAGACAACTCACACATCTCCAGATCATCAAGGTCAGTCCTGACTTCATCTCAAATGATCTCTGTTCTCTATATCACACTAAATTACAATGTGGTCAAAATAACATACGTTTTCAGCTATATGAATTAAAGTAATTGTAAATGGTTTTCAGCATCCAAAGGCAAAAAAAAAACAAAAAAACACTGACATTACTTCTGACAAGAAGACTGAGTGGCTAGCACTCGCACCTCACAGTAAGAGGGTCCCTAGTGTTTCTAGTTAAACTCTTTTGCATGTTCTCCCCATGTGTTCTTGAGCCACATGTGCTTTCCCCATCAAGTAGAATCTTACAGCTCATGAGATTCTCCTAGCAGCTTCGAAGGATGGGTCACATTAAGCTAGAGCAGCATGGCTGATGAGCTCCACTGACGTTTTTTGGGGCAAAAGGACAGATTTTTATTTTCTATCCAAATTATATTTTATATTAAATTTTACCTCTACTCTGACCTGTGCTCAGATCAGCCGCAGTCACTATCAGGATGCGGTAACTGCTTCTCGGATGGATAGTTCCCCCCAAAGTCCAGACCCAGAAGGACGCCCCACAGATGGGACCGGCCTGACTCCAGATGCCCCGCCCACAGATCAGATGAACAGGCTCCTCCCACCAGACCACGCTCCTCCCAGTCATATGGCTAGACTGCTGCCACCTGACCACACCCCATCTGATCACATGACCAGACTCCTCCCCCCAGACCATGCCCTTTCGCAGCAAAGCTCTGCTCTCATGCCGCCACCACGGGAACCAGGGCGCCCAAGCTCCGCTCGCACGCGCTCAGTACAGGCCACTTCCACACACTGCACCTCTCTGCTTAACGAGAAGAACCGCATTGTTCGTAAGTTAAAAGTCCTTTGATATATCCTTAAACCATTATTGTATGAGTTAATATGTACATTATTATGCATATTATTATTTTCAGGCAGTAAGTCAGACGGCCAGAGGAAGTCCCAGTGATTCTGTATTTTTGAGGATGGATGATATCCCGTACATCCGAGAGGACCGCACAGAGACAGACACTAACCCTGGTACAAATTTAACCTACTCCTCTTTTCTCTCTGTTTGATTTAGCTATAATTTGATTTTTCATCTTGTTCTGATGTTGCAACGCTTCGACCAGTCAGATTCAAATATTTGTTCTAAAGCCTTTTCCCAATTGCTTTCAGTAGCAGCCATTCCAAATTGATAATGTGCAGCACTCAATTCATGAGCCTGGCATGAGCCCGGTTGTTTATCCCTGGTTTTCTCACTTCCATTTTAGCTCTAGCTCAGTATTGGTTCAATCCTGGTTCACTTCTGATTCAGACATGGTTTCTTTCTGGTTCAGTTCTGGTTGAGTCCTGGTCTAATTCTGTCTCTGCTCTCGGTCTAGACCTGGTTTCCGGCCTGGACTCTGACACGTCTCCGTTCCTCAGCAGCAGTGGTCTCTCTATGAGCGGGTCTGAGGATACTCTGGGGAAGAAACTCCTGCTCAAACTGAGTCAGTGCTGCTTTATCCACTTCTCATTCACATTCAGACTGCAACCTCTCAAACCCAACAGGCCAATACAACAGCCCCAAGTCAGGACACATTCAAGTACACTGGCACCACTGGCTCATTCACTTTAAGAGAATGAGATCAGAACATGAGCAGTATTTATCTTAATTAGGTCTGTCATGATGATCACTATATCAGCTTATTGTTAAATCATGTTAATAACATTTTCATATTGTTTAACAGTATAATATCATTTGAGCTGTAGAGAATTTAAATAATTAAGATCAGTACTTTCCTTGTTTTTTGTTTTGTTTCATTTTAACTATAGCCAATGGTTTATTTATAAAAGGGTGTAATGGGATTTTCCCATTTAAGGGTTATTTCTTGACCAGGGTAAGAGTCAATTTTCATATCAACAAAAACCTGAAATCCACAAATGTTGAACCTGATTATTTATATTAGTGACAATTCTTACAACTATATGAGCTTATAACCCTGTTCAAATGTTCACATGTTTCCTCAAAGAATATATAGGTCTACACATTCAGGTTTCTTTTCCATGGCATATTGCATGAAATAACTTGCAAAAATACATTACTTTTCTCTTCCGAGTTTTATAAATATTTTTAAAATATAAATCTGCCATTTTGTTTTGTTCAGGTCACAAAAAGAGGAAAAGGTCTCGCGAAGGAGAGAGGACTCCAGAGGACATCTCAGAGCAGCCTCTAGTCGAGACTTGACTTTCCCCATAGAAACTGCAGCTGTTTGAGAAGACAGGCACACATGCACTTTCAGAGTTTTATCTGAACTACACTGAGAGACACTTTAACCAGGACAGTGCAAATCCAATGGTGGTCTAACTTTATGGCAGCATATTTGGCATTATTTAGAGAGTAAGAAAACATGTCTTTTTAGATGCAATGTCACAAATCATTTAAGTAATAATTGCTACAAAATGACAATGGATAGTCTAACATATTTGCAGAACTTAAAAACATGTTTTCCTATTTATTTTCTAATCTCTAAATGAGCCAAATGCACCTGAAAAATATTTGGCTTTCGGTGCAATAACTATGCATGGCTAAATCAGAACAAACTGGGACTAAAACAGGAATGAAACAAGAATGACGAACAAATAAAAGGACTAAATATGTGCCTAAATAAGAAGTGAACCAGGTCTAAACTGGGACTTAACAAGAACTGTTACTGTGGGACAGACCCAGCACTTAACCAAGAAAATAAGAAAGACCTTTTCTGGTGGAGGATCCACCACCTGTTTGTACATGGAGATTTATGCTCTGCAATATTTCACAGTATGGCATTAAAGGTATCTATTTCCATGGGAGAAATAGGTGAAATAGGTGAAATCACCAAGTTACAGATCAAAAGAGAGATGAGGCCACACACTGTAAGTACAGGTTTTGAAATGCTTTGCAGACCCCATGAGAAAAGTTACGACGTGCACCTTTAAATTAAGTTGGATTTTGATTTGAACTGCAAAAACTCCTACATGTCACTTATGTTAAGAAGGGGAAGTGGTATTAGAGGTGGGTTATACTTTGTGTAGTAATTAATATAAGAAAATTAATTGCAAAATTATAGTACATTTAACATAGTTAATAATAGAATTAGGCAAAAACATGGTCAAAAGGCTGCAAAATAATTTGATTAATGAAAAACAAACGACCACTGCAGCATTTCAATTTTTTTTTTAAAGTATAGTAATTAATTATACAATATGTTTATGCCCAAAACATCAACAAGAACATTTTAGCACACTGCAAAAATACCTAATTAGCCTATCATTTTTGTTCACTCCTCAGCAGTATTTAATACAAATCAAATACTTAATTTTAAATCTAATTATTTTAACAGGGTTAAGGGTTACGATTAGGCATAACATTAAAAGGCCCATATTATGCTATTTTCTGATCTATGTTATTATTTTAATGCACTTTCTCGCCACAAACATATCTGGAGTTGTGTTTTGTTTCATTCACACATGTTTAACACACAAACCCTGCATATTTAGGCTGAGTTCTTCTCTCAAATAGAAAACACGCTGTTCCACCTTGTCATGTCATGTGGTAATACAGGAAGTGCTTCACTGTGTTTTTAAACTCCGTACACCTTCACCGGAATCATTTGGATATTGACAGCCCTGGAATTGGCAATCTCTACTTAAAAAAAGGTAAAAGGTGGATGTTAACATGAAACTACCACTACATGACATCACAGAGTGGAACAGAGCATTTTGAACTTTGGAGATGTAAACAAACAAATAATAATTACTGTGAATTACTGTGAGTTAATTTTGCATAATATAGGACTTTTAAGAACAAATACCACCTCGTAAAACAGACGCTATTTATTTTAAATGCTTTGCAGTGGTCCAAAGTTATTCCTCACTTACCTCTTGCATTCTGAGCATGCTCAATTACACAGGAAAAAATCTGGTACAGCCACTGGAAAGATGAAGTAAAAAGCTGAAATAGTCAAATTTATAATAGTTATTTATTGTAAAATGTATGGAGTGTTCCACAGAAAGTATATAATTAGGCATAACAATCAAGCAATGAAAAACATGAGGTTTTTCTTAAGCATGGGTGAATGAGTCTTTCAAACTGAACTGACTTCTTCTGGTATATGACTGAATTGAAAACACCCTGGCTGTTTGTGGGCAAAACTGTAAAATATGCATCCTTCCTCTTCCACCTTTTAAGCTTGAATGTAAAGGAATGACCATGAATGTAAGAAATGTACAGACGGTCATCAAATAATTTTATATACTGAAGTTTAAATAAATATATTCTCCCTGTGCCTTGCATGTTATCTGGAGGGAGTGAATCCAATTCATTTCACTTTCACACAACAATGTACAGCTGTGTAAGTCTTACTTGGTTTTTGATATATTTTATTACTGGATGTCTTAAAATCAGTATGAGTTAGACAGTTGTGACACTCCTTGAAAGCTTTATCTACTTTCCTCAGAGCCTCCATTACACAAGAGTCCTTCATAAAGACAGAAAAAGAGGAGACGCCAAAACAATGAGGACCTTAAGCTTATCACTGACTCTGGCATGCCTTTTTTCTTCACTGTGTGTCCCATATCTAGCCATTCACAGTGTTTAGCAAAAAGCATTTAATCGTTTCTGCTTAGACTCTCTCAGCCTAATTCACAGACTAATGCTAATTGACAATACACAGTTTTTGAATTGAGTTATGAGAAAATGGTTGAATTATGAAACAAAATCAAATAGTCTAACAAAACAATTTTATAGAAAAACATTAACATTAACATATTAATTCATATTCAGCTTGATTAGCTGCTGTCCATTTAGCTGCAGAAATTCTACTATCAATCTGGAAATGCACATGTATTGCTCCCCTCTCAGAATGTGACCAGCCCCTCGCAATATTTAATTTAATTCATTGTTTGACTTATAATCATTCCAATAATTATTTAGGTTAAACATAGAATAGTTCAGTGCAATACAGATCCAGGCCATTATTTTCAGTTCACTCAATGTATGTTTTGTGCCTGGGCGCTGCTCCTCATGCTCTCTGCATCCTGACTTTCTTGGTTCCATTAGCCGTCTGTTTGCCTTGCCTTGGACTGGAAAGAACTGACTTTGCAGAAGGCATGGCAAGGTACTCGCATTTGAGAAACAGCCAAAAACACAGACCTTCTTTATACTGATTTATATAAAGCTACTGGATTCAAATCAACCAATTACAGTGCGGGAATTGCAGAAGTGCCCGCCTTTCTTGGAAAAACAGCCAATGGGAGTATTAGGTGGGCGGGGCCTGTGGCACAACAGCGAAGCATTCAAACCGAACATGGCAGCTGGGAAAGATGACAACGAAAACACGCTAAATAAAAGGTAAGATTTACACGTTATTTAGCGAAACTACAGCAGATTTTACAGTAATAAATTAGCTTTCATTGCGAAAATTCGACGTTCGATATTAATACAAAATAAAACAATTGTGAAAACAGTTCATGCATGCGTACTGCCTCGTTAACTTACTAGCCATTGATGCAGATTATTGACCATCAAAAACATTTGATGGTCAATAATCACTGGTCAGGCATATACATGATTCTTTTAACAGTGTTGATAAAACGTGTACAATGAAGTGAAGCCTAGAGTGTGCTGCGAAAGTTCTTTGCAGTGTTGTCAGTGTGCAAGAGTGCTTTGGGAAACACTGTAATGCTGCTAAACTGTTACCAAGTCTGCAACCTCTTCTCTCGCCCCCTTTCTACTAATAAAACATATCCCATTTATTTATGTATACCAGTATTTATCAGTACTCGGTTTATCAGTGAAACAACATGGCAATATTACTGCCAGTCAAAATGTCAAATAAAAGCAGTCTCTTTATATTAATAATAGCATAATTATACCGTGCAGCTATGGTCTGGTGAGTTTATCTACGAACTAGAGCTGGGTGATGTGACAAAATGTACATATTTTTTCCCTTGTATGAACTGACCACAATACATTTTTTTTTTTTTTTTTTTAACAATGAAACATTAAATGCATTCATTACTATTTTTCTGAACATGAACAATACAGAATTTGAATAACTGCAATAAAAAAAAAAAAAAAAAAAGTCAAATTTCTTCCTTCAGTGTCTGAACTCCAGACCACATGCTTCTACTGACAGAGGATTGGCTTTGGACCTCCTTGACTGAAAAGGCCCAACCATATTACTGACAGTTAAATGACTCTCAGTCTTAATTCAAATTTGACTTTATAGTGTTTCTACAAAGTGATTTGTAAGTGGGTGAATTGGGTAAAATACTTTTCTTAATAGGTTAACAAATGATTGAATTATTTAAGTTTTCTGTTCCATTTCAAGAAGTTTTTAGTGCTTGTTTCCACAATTGTATTGAGCTGTAAGACATTTTTGAGTATTCATTGTATTCTTACCTCTGTCTCTCCAGAGTTGCCGAGACCACAGCAAGGATGCCTCCTGCAGACTCGGCTCCTCTCACTCCCCTCGTCTTTAACCCAGACTTCTTTGTGGAGAAGCTTCGTCACGAGAGTCCAGATGTGTTTGTGGAGGTGGTCCTGAGTAATGTGACACGCCTCATAGATTTGCCCGGGACAGAGTTCTCTCAGCTGCTCGGAGAGGACAGCCCCAAGACCCCAACAGGCTCCAACACAGGCTTCTTCAGATCCTTCAACTTCCTCAAACGCAAAGGTGAGAAGGAAATTGAGGCTGTTTATTTGGTTGTACAATTATATGTATGTTTTCAAATCAGGATTCAGTTCACAGTGCAAATTTAAACATGCCTTGGATCAAACATACAAACAACGTACACAGACATGTCTTGGATCATGGAAAGATGCTACAGTACGTAACTAAACATAGACTAAAATAAAAGCATGTTCTTTCATGTTTAATTTAGAAAAACATGCATCCTTACCCTGAGCGAGCTTGCATCTCCACAGACCTCTGCAAAAATACTCTTATTTGGCCTGCATTAGGGCCTCCTGCTTGTTTCCATGGAAATGTTGTTACTTGGCTGGCTATAATCCTCCACAGTATGGCATCAAACTGATCTATCTCGATGGAAAATGTTTAACTTTCATGTGGTCATGCAGGTGCCTTGCCTCCTCCAGAAAGTTATGTATGTATGCATGAAATGCATGAAGCCATAATTCCCTTCTTTGCAGATAAAGGCGTTCTCTTTGGGACTCAGTTGAATGAAACTTGCATCGCTCAGATCTACCAGCTCATGGAATACCTCAGCAAGAGTAAGTGCAGGCACTTTTAATTACAAACGTGAATAATTTATCTGAGTATCTGTAAAATTTGTTGCCTTACACATCAAAAGTGCTGGTAGACGATCCAGCTGTTATGAGTGTATGTATTACATAGATCTTTTGTCTGTTTGCCTTAGACCTGCATGTGGAGGGTCTCTTCCGTGTCCCGGGGAACAGTGTGCGGCAGCAGACCCTCCGGGAGCTGCTCAGTCTGGGGCGGAGGTGGATTGGAGCTCAGGAGACTTCCATCCAAACGACGTGGCCTCTCTGCTCAAGAGTCTCCTGGGAGAGCTGCCTGAACCCTTGCTCACACACAGACACTTCCATGCTCACCTCAAGATTGCAGGTACATGATAGACCAGGGGTGTTTATTATTTTTTCCATGGGATCAGAAACAGAAAATATTGTGGAGGGCTGGGCCAAAATGCTTAACTCAATTCTGCATAATATTAATTGTATTTCTATATAAAAAGCATCAAATAGCATTGTTTTGACAAGCTGGTAAGACTAAGAGTTTATGTTTTGAATAAGCAATGAAAAAGTTAGGCTGCCTTACAAAAAATGTAATTTAAAAAACACCTCTAATATAAAAGCAATGCAGCTTTAGTCTATGCATGAGGTAAAATGATAAAAATATGTTTATTTTTTAGTAATTCCAAATTAGCTTAAATGGGCCAGTCAGAGTCAGCCAAAGGGCGATATGTGGCCCGGGAGCTGTACAATGCCCAGGTCTGTGGTAGAAGGTAAATCTTTTATTGTCACTTAGATTAGAACATGCAAAACATAAATACTGATGAGTGTAGTAAGAGGGGAGCAGTACAAGACTTATATCCAGGAAAACGTCCTTCATACACTAGGCTTATTTAGCTTATAAAGTCTTGACTTATTTGATGTCTTTTTTTTTTTCTTGTCTTTCATGGCTGGGCCTTGTTATTGCATGGATGGAAGACATCCAGGAAAACCAATTGCCAGCAGTTATTTTAGTGCATGTTGTCATTGTGTCCTCTGGCAAGACACTTCACCCACATTACCTAGTATGGATTTGCTGATTGAGTAATTTGAGATGGTTGGAGAGATGATGGCACACGCAGATTGCCAGCATCACTTCCATCAGTCTACCCCAGGGCAGCTGTGGCTACAGTATTATCTTACTACCACACAGTGTGGAGAGAATGAATAATGCAGGAAAGTGTAAAGCAACTGAGTGTCTGGAAAAAGCCTCATAGACGAATGCATTATTATTATTTATTTGAGTACACAAATATAATGCCAGTTTAAGGGTCAGGACTGAACAAAGCACAAATCAGGATGCAGCCACATTTTCCCAGTCATCACTAGTTAAAGGGAGCTGGAATACCTGCTTCTGACAGCACACATTATATTTGATTGCACTTTGTCCTTCCTTTCTTTCTTCAGACATAACCCTACTTGACGAACACGGGAACAAGACGGCTGTGCCGAATAAAGAGCGTCAGATCGAGTCCCTGCAGCTTCTGTTCCTGCTGCTGCCACCCACAAACCGCTCACTCCTGAAGTTACTGCTGGACCTGCTGTACCACACGGCCAAACTCCAGGACAAAAACAAGATGTCCACCTTCAACTTGGCCCTGATGTTCGCCCCACATGTGCTCTGGCCAAAAAATGTGAGTAGGAGTGGGCAATATACAAACATACATACATACATACATACATACATACATACATACATACATACATACATACATACATACATACATACATACATACATACAACCCAACAAATTTTCTACAAGTCAGATCACCATTTTAGATTTTTTTTATATTGGTAAAATAAATGGTTAAATCCACCTGTCACTTAGAATATAGCACAGGCTGAGCAGTAGGAGGCGTGGGTGGAAAAAGTGTCTTTGTTTGAGCATCAAGTGACATTCAAGAGAAAATCTTCAAATCTTTGTTTAAGCTGCCCCTGCTCCACTATTCAGAAATCACTGAAAAGGGCCATTATGGTGTTTAAAAGAAACTATAATGTTGGACTTGGCCTGGACCTGTTTCAGATTTTGTGTTTTACCAGTCCTGTGGTACACCCCCACTGGATGATGGCTTGTTCACAGTGTTGTATATTGCCGTACACCTCTTAAATATTACTTAAGTTATCATTAAAAATGTAGAAAATACCTGTAAAATTTGTTATTGTTGCATTTTATGTTTTATTTGTCTTGTAGATGAATGCCAACGATCTGAAGGACAACCTGAAGAAACTGAACACCAGCATGGCCTTCCTCATCAAACACTCACAGAAGCTCTTCAGGGTCAGGAATCTGTGTTTAAAAAAAAAAAAAATGTTGTTATCCTTTTTAAAATACCTCCCTCTGATGCTTTAGGCTCCTGGTTACCTCAGAGATTTTGCCAAGCAATACTTCAGTGGGACCAATGTTCTACAGAGCAAGGTAAACTTAAGGGGCCTTTATTACAGCTTTGCAATTCAACAAATTTTAATAGAATCCTGATTTGATTGCTTGAAAGACTTAATGATGGGTGAGGGGTTATCACTCAAATATATCTTGGAAAACATGCATTATTACTGTGAACGGGTTTGGCTCTCCACAGATCTGACCTGTCACTTGGCCTTGAGAGTAGTTGTTGCTCATTGAAACAAGCATGAAGTGGACCCTCAACCCCCAAAAAATAAATGTTTTAACTTTTTTGTAACTGATCAGAACAATAATTACACAATTGAACAGTCCTTCTTGACCTGTCCTTGTTGTTTCAGGATGACCTGGAGCTTATGTCCCTGAACGCCTCCCCGGTGCAGAGGAGAGCTGTGCCCCAAAAGAGGACTGCAACTGGTGCTTTAGTTCAGGACCACTGCCCCTCCCCTGCCTCCCAGTACACGGAGGACGCCCTCAAAGAACTTTTCAGACACGTCAATAACAACATGCCCGACTCCGCTAAGAAGAAGAAACTCGTCCGCCAGGTCGGTTGACAGATTGAAGGTCATTTGATGTCATTATACAGTTTTTATAGTTTAAATTGAGCTGGAGGGCAGCTCAGAATTTGAATGCAGATGTTGTGACCTGGTTATGATTAATGTCACTAATATTGGGCCTATCCACAAGCACAAACAAACTAGCACTGGCCAGTTCAATGTCTTCTCAGGCTAGTTTACATGTAATATTTTGGTCCCAATTATTATTGTGTACTTCTTTCTTTTGCTTAATGCTTATTGTTTGTAGTAAAATAGTTCATCTATAAAGGGGTTTCTTGGGATAATCCTGCTTTTACACCTAGGTGTTATCATGCCTACAGATGCACAGACGTCAGCTTCCTCAATTCAGTCGTAGTTGGCCCAGATTTAACTTTTATTTACTGAACAGAAAAAGATGGATTGGTGTATCTCTAAGTTTTGTCTTATTTTATTTATGTCTAAAAGAAATCAATATTGTCAACCTCTGTACTGGTATCGGTTGATATCGGGTATCTGCAGCTACTTAAAGACATAGAATGAGAATTTGTATCGGAGCTGAAAAAGCTAGTCCCTAGTCATGACCTATATGACCTAGGCCTATATGTTTGTGTTTATAGTTGGTGAAACAGACTGGAACCCCGACCTCTGATTGTCTTCAGGTCTCTGCAGGTCCCAAAAAACATCCACGATCACGCTCCTTTGGTGGACTCATCAAGGTACTTCAGCATGTGCTGGGAAAAATAGTTGTTTGGTCACGATTTGATCCTGGTTTAGTCCCTCTTTAAACATGGTCTAGTTCTGGTTCAGTTCTGGGGTTAGTAGTTTAGTTCCAATCCACTCTGTTTAGTGTACAAGTGTGAATGTACTCAATGAATCAGAATGCTAGGGCTGTGGTCCTTTATAAGGATTTATATGGGCCACAGGAGAAAGGAGAGGCCATGGAGTAAAATCAGTTTTGGGAGTGACAGTTTAATCTGCCTTTTCATTTATGAGCATGTGGTTTACTAGGAGTTGTGGGCATATAGTAGTTTTTGCAGATCCTAATAATTTTGAAAGCAGACATTTAATATATCACATTTTTAGCGTAAAAATCGTGGTGACCAGCTGACTGCAGAGAGAAGACTTCGGCATATTTCTCCAGAGGTAGCTATGAGAACAGGGAGAAAAACAGGAAAAGAAAATGTTTTACTGCAGACTGTGAGTAACCATGGAACCATCATACTTTCATTAATATCGGTGTTACTTGATTGTATCTTAATGTATTGTATCCACAGGTGAACAGTCCAAATGGTCATCTTATTGGAAAGGCAGGGCTAATCGTAAAACCCAGACTTTAAGGAAAAAGTTGTCAAGACTTCAAGGGTAAGTTGCATCTAGTATCTACTCTACCCTGTAATGTAATAAATTATGCTATTTTAAAAAAAAATTTTCTTAATTAAAAACGTAATTCTCACTTTTTTAATGCAGTCTGAGCATCCAGTTATTTACAGTAATGAGTTTATAAGGGTGTTTCTAACCACAACTAGCATGCTAACAGTGCTTTCTGGTTCATAAAAATAAAAACACAAGACAGAAGACTTATGCTACATGGACAAACATTGGGTACTGGCTCTTGAATCCTGGTATTTCACTCTTTAATAATTGATAACGGATGTAATGTATATGCTTGGACATTAATTTATCATACAAAAACTCAGTAAAGCTTGCGATGATGCAGAGTAGTTAAGCAGTATAAATAACAAAATAAAGTTGAATGTCTCTTCCCCCTTTTTCTCTGCTCACTGTCCAGCAGAATAAATCTACCCAAAAATATTGGTATGTTGTTGTTTATGAAACGTGATCCTCAGAAAAAAAGTTGACTGCCTGTGTTCTTCTGTTTTCAGCCTTCTCCGCTGATGCCCCACTCCTGTTTCTCTCCTCAGGATGTCTCACTATGAGCCCGCACTTGTCACTCTCTCTTTTTTTCTTAATCTTTTCTTTTTATTTTTAGTGAGTTTTAGCTGTGACTAACTGTTTGGAACTGAGAAACCAAACCATGACTCAAGAACCTATTTGACATTTTGAGACTGTTGGTATAGCTATTAATGCTACTAGAAATGTATCTTAAATCCTAACCTTTAGACATTTAAGGAACTCTGAAAGTATAATGCCTGAAATGTTCCACAGTATGCTATAAAACATTTTTTTTTTTTTTTAAATCTGCTGATTCAAAAGGAAAAAAAAAAAACTCGAAAAACATGGATTCTTACTGTGAGCACTTGGTTTGGTTACGCCACCTCCATGGAGATAGATTTTTTTATTATTTATTTTTATACCATACTGTGAAACATTCCAGGAAAAGCAATAACATCTCCATGCTGACGTGGCAAACCCTCCACCAGAAAGCGTACATAATCTACCTTTAAACCAAAATTAGGCACAGTAAAGTTATGTGCTTTGTAAATTTGCTATATAAAAAAATAAAGTAATGTCGTATTATACAAACTAATACCAAAACCATCTTTCAGAAAAACACAAAAAATATATAAAATACATTTATGAATTAATTTAACTGGTGATACACAATATGGTCCAATCTAATATCACAAATGTATTAATACACACATTTTTCATTTAGAGTCTTGACATTTCGTTTGGTTTCTTTGTTTCATAAATGCTTTTAAACTTGTGTGTGTTGTGTTGCTGCTGTAAATAAGTAACCACTATCTTGCTGAGTCTGTAGTCTGGAGTATTTATACATGTACAGAATAAGCCTCTTTTAATATGAATTTTATAATGTTTTTGTAACACTGGTATGGTACAAAATGATGAAATGAAAAGCAGGCATAATATTGCTGCCTCCAAAAAAAAGTCTCTGCCCCTGCTCTGGGTGGCAGTGGGTCAGGGCTGGCCATTGCCGCTTGCGGTTTTAATTTTGTTTTAATTTTGTTACTGGGACTGAATTTGGTCAGTACATGTTTGACCATATCTACGTTAAATGTGAATTATTACTTGAGTTTGTGGATTTTTGGGTGATTTTAAGAAGCTGTGAGTCGTTGGTTACAGAAAGTTGGTAGAAGGTTGTTTTATGTCTAGGTTTGTTGGAAATGATGGTCTTAAAAAACAGTGTCAATATTTAAGGGACAACTTTTTTATATATATAACACTGTCTATAATGATGACTATGTCAGCTATAAAAACTTGAATAGTGTTGATTTTTCACTTAGTGACCTTGGCTTATTTGTAATAGAAACTTTAAGTATTACAATTTGCATTTGCGATTGTTTACAAATCAGGATTTTGTACGCCAACTAATGTTAAAGGGGCCCATATTCTGCTATTTTCTGATCTATGTTATAATGTTTCCTCATCACAAACATACCTGGAGTTGGATTTTGTTTCATTCCCACATGTTTAAATACAAACCCTGTAGTTCTTCTCTCAAACCAAAAACACTCTGTTCCACATTGTGATGTCATGTGGTACAGGAAGTGCTTTTGTGGTTTTTAAACTCCATACACCTTTCTTCTAGAATCATTTGCGTGATTTCAGCCCTGGAATTGCCTGTAATGATTGACTGAGTTTGATTGATTCTAGTTGTTGTTGTCTAGTAGTTGTAATAGTATTTTTTTTTTAAGACAAAAAGTAGTCATAACTACCACTTATCATCACAAGGTGGAACAGAGCATTTTAAGCTTTAGAGATGAAAACCGACTAACAATATAGGATGACTCAAATGTATGAATGAATCAAAACACAACTCTAGGGATGTTTTTGATGAGATAACAACATTATAACATGATTTAAAGGTCACAAGAGTCAATTTTGTATAATATAGGACCTTTAACTTCTAAACAAAAACAGAAATCACATACAGTTGACAATAGGTTTGCTGCAGGGACAGCAGTTTTAATTCTAAAATAACATTGTTTGCAGAAGACATTTTTGCATGTTTGCAGTCTTAGTCTAAGAGATCATTTGTGTAGTCCTTGTTGAAGTTTTTACATTTAAGTCTTAATTTGCACATTTCAAAGGTACAAAAATATACATTTTACAGTAGTCAGTACGATTGTTGTCTGGTTATAATCTGATTTTTCCAGAGAACTGGCCAAAGTTTGCAGTTGGCCAACCAGAGTTATTTAAGTCACATAATTTAATCTTTAAATAATACAATATCAAGTCTGTAGACATAAAAATTGCAGGTTTGGGGCTTTTTATATATGATGAAAATGTTGAATGCATTTTTAGACTTTGGGATTTTCAGTTAGTTTTTTTTTTTTTTTTAAAGTGCAGAACTTCAACAGTTTTTGTATCAGTTTCTGTGTATGAAATACTTTGAGGGTTTGATGGTGCAGTGGACGTTGACATGAGGGTTCTGTGAATTGTATATGTGAGGCGTTTTACTTTAGGAAAGGTTTCTGATGGGACTGGGCGATATGGCAATAAAAAAAAAAATCTATTTTTCCCCTCCTTCGATTGTCAGCGACGGGTGGATTAACAATCACAGTAAAGCCTAAACTCTCAGAAGATGGCTTTAATATCCCTCCGTGGAAAGAGCTACGAACTACATGAATGTGATAAAAAAAAAAAAATTGCTACATCGCCCATCCCTAGGTTTTGAATCATTTTGATGGGAAAACATTTTATTGTACCAGTGTCTTTTTTTTAAATGAGTTTATGAACAAATTTTTCTCTTAAATGTTTATTTTAATTACCTGAACTACTGTCTACTGTATGTAAGTGGGTCAGATTCATTTGTAGCATGATACAAGATTTAAATGATTCTTAGTCATATGTTACACCACATTTCTTAATATTTTTAGGTGTTTTAAACAGTTAATACTTATTTTACACATTTCCTCAAACTGAAGGGACTGTTACAAAGTTTAGTTTATTTTTGTATTTGTTGATAATAATGACACTTAAGAGAACAGTCCGCTTTGGATTAAAGCGAGTTTCTCATTGCGTCTGTCTGTTTATTTATACTTGTATGTAAGCATTTTTGTTTAGTTTTCTTCACATATTAAAATGGGCTGTATCTATTTTTTTTAGCAGTTATTAGAGAAAAGTTGTAGTATATAGTTAAATATCTTAACCTGTATATTTTTATTGCATGGACTGAGAGAATACTACCTCTCCTACATTAATATAAATTGAGAATTAATTCAATACGGTATACTAACATTACTTATAAAACACACACACACACCTTACCTTTCCACAAACAACACACAAATATGATCTGACAGTACAACTTTTATTCATTTGAAGTGAAAACCGTTAAGAGCGTAATGCTGCCAACTGAAATTTTATGCATTTAATCGGAAGTACTATTACATTTTAACAATGCAACATTTTGTACAATTATAGTTGACTTGATACTTAAATGTATACCCCCATAGAGGTATAATAATGTCTTATTAGTAATTATAGATTCATGATTGAGACAATAAAAAACAAGACATCAGTTTTCTTGTTAAAAAAGGATACTTGAAATGCATTTGTCTTCAGTTGGCAGTAAGACACTCCTGCACTTTACTATAGTAACAATGAAATGTACATTTGTTCTTGTTCTCAAGTCAATTCCAGACCAAAATATGACATCTGACCCATTTAAGTAAATCACCCTGTGCATTTATCTGGGAGTGAATTCATTTGAAGGACAGCTCACAATAAATATTTTGAAGATAGACATGTACAGAAGAGGGATAGTGAATTTAGAGATAACATTATAATTGTGCTACTTTTTTCATTTATCTTATGAATTAATAATCATTTAAAGTTTTCCTATTTCAGTCAAGCCAATTATATATACACAGTTGTATTTAGGAGGATTTTCATTTGCTTTTGACCAAAATACAGAAGTAATATGGGGATATATTTATATTTTACATATGATTAAATGTTTGTTCAATATCACATTTAAAGATACAGTATTCCATTAATTCAAATCATTAAAGTGTCTTCTTCGGTGAACAGCAAGGACAAAAAAGTGCTTTTATTTTGCAATTGTTCCTTCACAGAATCTAGCTCCCTGACTGGTTAAAGCTACGGCCAAGCAGAGTAAAGAGGAGCGGAGAGAGGAAGTGGAGGAGAGTATAGAGGTGTTTCTTATTGGATTTTGGTGACAGCTTCGTGGATGGATTGAGCTACGTAGTCGATGTTTTTGGTGGTGAGTCCGCACATGTTGATTCGACCGCTGGCCATAAGATACACATGTTTCTCCTTCACCATGTATTCCACTTGTTTGGCTGTGGACAAGACAAAACACGAGTTAGACTAAAGAAAATCATGTTTGATATACAAAAATTAACCCTTACTACTGTACAAGTTACCCTGTTTCCCCAAATGAATTTACATAATTTTATTACAATAATAATAATACAATTTGCCAATCAGTGCCACCCCATGACCACCACCAACACTCTCACACAAGCCGCATTCATGCTAGACACAGTGCTTCAGTCAAACATTGGTATGCATGCAAATTTCAGCTTTCTGTTTTGCATCATTTTGACAACTTTTTCCACATTCAAAAGATATATTTGGATCCGGTCAAGCGGTAATGGAGGGAAACAGGGGCAGATTTTTTACATTCAAATAGCTCTTATTCAGAAACTAGAGGGACTCTTGAAATAAGTAAGGTATCAGAATGTAGGAAAGAGTTAACACTCCAACAGGGTAAAGTTAACCCTGTGATATTCTTTCAAGTTGTTGACAAAAAATTTAAAAAACTCATGACGGTAACGGAGGGAATGAAATAAGCAGCACTTTGTGGGCAATAAATACAAACAGCGATAACTACCGGTTCCCACTTACATATCCTTAACAAACTGGTTTGAATATTTGCTTAATATAGTTTTATACCATATGGTACAAGATTAGGTTGAAAAAACCTCTTACTTTTTGAGTAATGAGAATTTTTATTAAGAAAGGTCATGGTAACGAAATTGTGCAAGCAAGTAGATTAGAAGGTGCATGATTTTACATAATTTGTCATCTTTTTTCTTACGAATACTTTAATATTACTTCAAAATGAAAGGTAACTATTTCTATAAAATATGTCAGTCCTTCCAAGCAAATTTTTATCATTTTAAATAATTTTTTTTGAAAAATCATGTACCTTCATCAACAGTTCAAAGATTGAATAACACAAGATATGATGAAATACATCAATTTGCAGGTCTTTGAAATTTGGGAAATAATTTTTGTTCCATGTTGCATACATGGTATGTTTAAAATGTATGTAACTTTAGAACCAAAAATGGTACAGAAAAAAGGTCAACAGTTTCATAAACTAGAGTATATATACTATCTGTTGAATACATTTTTATATCAGATGTATTAACTTGAATTTTTGGTCTTGCTGTATACTTCTGCTTGACCGGGCCCATTTGAAAATAAAACAAAAATTTTAAGTCACTATAGCAATGGTCTTGTTTTTTGGATAATTTTGAAACTCATGGATATCTTTTGAACCAAGTTTGTATGGAAATTGCTCTATATTTCCAGACATTTGATAGTATATGGTTTAGTGTTACTCACGGTTGAGGCCGGTGAAGCTGAACATTCCAATCTGAGCTGTGATGTGGTCCCAGGTCCCAGGAGTCCCCAGAGCTAGGAGCTTGGAGCGAAGCTGGTCCCTCATCAGCAGCACTCTGTCTGCCATAGTTTTCACGTTGGCCTTCCTACACAGGACAGAGACAGGGAATTCGTTCAGCTATTATTTGATCTGTTATTTCATAGGTTTTCTTAAAGTTTAATTACAATATTGCACAATTTTGTCTGTGCAAATAAAAATAAATAAATCATGGGAAAATGGGCTCATACATGAGTTATACAGGGACAAAACTTTAAATGAGTTAGCAAACTAAAATTTCTATTTTGGTCAATAATGGTCATGAACAAATTAAATGTGTGAAACAGTGCTAGCCCCAATAAACCCCCAGTGTAATGAAACTGAAATTTGTTCATGATAGACTTCTGTCATAGCAACAATTTAACCCAAACGTTTATAGGATGAAAAAATGACCGCAAAACTCTCATCTTAACATTCACCTGGTGTAAGGATTTAATGGTCACCCATACACTGGACAGGTTTAACTGCACAAGATCTCACCAAACTGGAAAGTACAATTTCCCTTTCACACAGACCTTATTCATAGTAAACAGCAGAAATGGTGATCCTTTACCATTCTGTGAAGAGCTCTGGACAGTTGAGTGTTTTGCTGACGATACGTGCGCCCTGAGACGGAGGGTTGGACCAGGTTGTCCTCACAATCTTCTCCATCTGAGAGAGGGTCCTGGCCAGATTCTCACCATCTTTGGCAACAACTGTGAGGTTCCCCACTCTCTCATCTACAACAGAGCACAGAAACATACAGTGAGAGATTGAATAAAAATACTAAACTAAAACACAGAATTCAAGTGGGTTGTGCCACTGTGGCACCATCTATCTAAAGTCAATAGTAACTAAACAATGCACTGGTATAACAAAATTATACTTTTTTGTTATGACCCACTGATTAACTAAAATTAGAAGCTATAAAGTTACATTTTGTACAAAAACAGGGGCCCCACATTTTTGCTTCTTTGTTTTTATTTTTTTCAGCCTTTTAATCCATATTCTCGAGTAATCTCCTGAATTGAATGTGAAGTAGTCAACTAAAATACAATTTCTTGAAATCGACCTTGATACTTGTATCATAGTTATGCTGATTGACTGATGTTCTAATGTAAATTAAAGTACATTCTTCATCATTCTTGATTCACGCTATAAATACACATTTCTTAAATTTCATTACCAACTCGACATGAGAAAAAAAGTTTCAGATTTTTATTCTGAAAAAGGAACCTCTTTTGCACTACTCTAAACTATGACAGGGGACTCACTGTAGAGGCCAAAGTTCTTGGAGAAAGACTGAGCCACAAACAGTTCAAATCCCTGAGAGACAAAGTAGCGAATGGCCCATGCGTCCTTCTCCAAACTTCCAGAAGCAAAGCCCTGATAGGCCGAGTCAAAGAACACGAACAGGTTCCTCCTCTGGAAACAAAAACATGAACAATTCTTTCAGGTCAACCTCAACTCTCTCAACAAACACACAGCATCATTACAAAGCCTGCCCTATGCTACAAAATCAAGTTAAAAAGTACTGAAGATTTTTTTTTCATGCATACTTTGAAACTTTTAAGTACATTTGGAGAGCAGTACTAGAGGCAGATTAACAGAAATGGGCTGCAGCCTTATGGAAAAAAAGCCTTCAGGAATTCAAACAGCTTTCAATTTTCCTCTTCTTCCCTTCACCTGTTCCTGATAATTGACAGTAGTATTTTATATTTGTAGTAAAACATGTAGTACTAAAAAGGCCACAGATTGCCTTAAAAAGACAGATTTTGCCTCTTTAAAATGGCGATTACCTTCATGATTTCTGCGATCTTCTTCCATTCGTCCTGTGTGGGGTCGGTGCCAGTTGGGTTGTGGGCACAGGCGTGAAGCACAAAGATTGAATGCTCGGGAGCTTTCTGTCAGATACATAAACAAAGAAAATATATTGTTTAATCAACGAGCAAACAAATTCTTTTTGTTGTACTCTACTGCTATTGTTGTAATTCAATATAATTTGGTGCTTAAAAAGGTGCACTATGAAACTTTTGTCTCCATGGAGGCGTTATTGGATTGACTGGAATGTTCCACAATTAGGGATGGGCATGATTAGTCGATTAATCGATAATTGATCATTAAGAATTTCATCGATTACGTTACATTTTACTCGATAAACCGAATGTAAGTTGCTGTGCGTAGCGTGACCAAACAGGGATCCGTACATGTAGCTCTCTGCACTCAGAAGGAGCGAGACACAAACAGTCGGTCAGCCTGCTAGTGCCAAAGCGCAAATGCGTATTTAACGATGACACGCTTTCCGTTCCGGTCGGGACAAGTGGGAGGCCATGTGCACAGTGTACAAAGCAGCACATATGTTTCGGTGTCCAGTGGTTTTTCCCACTGGACAAAGCTTTGCCAGGTGAGAGTAGCGCAATGTTGATGATGAGTCCCTGTACGGTGTCCTGGTTTTGACAAACGCAAATATAGTCACACTAACCTGTATTCCACTGAATCATGTCTTTTAATCTAAGAGAAGTTGACTGCATCAGCGCACAAGAGCTGTATTTTTATCTTCGCTTAGTTTATGCAAATAAGCGATGCGGTTTTAAGTTTCGTTTCTGTGAGAGTTGCGCAAAATTGAATTAAACACATTATAATGTCAAACGGGCTGATGTGGCTCTAGAGTGGTTACGGTTTATATGTTGTAAAGTTGAATTTATTTATGCAGATTAGTAGTGCAGATAGTAATAATAATGATGATCATTTTAATATAAAAACGTTAATGATTAATCGATAATCGATCGTTAATTCTTCCGACGATCGATTAAGAAAATTTCATCGAATGCCCATCCCTATCCACAATATAACATACTTTACAAATTATGGGTGCATTATTGTTCAAATGTCCAAATAAATTTCCGAGATCAATAAAAGTTTAAATGCTGAAATTTAATTGAATGAAATATAAACCTCCAGATCGTCCACAAGTCCATCCAGGTCCAGGCCTCGTTTGTTAGCGTCCCAATAATGATACGGACGGATGTCTTTGAACCCAGCATCAGAGAAGACACCATTGTGGTTCTCTGGAAGTAGATGATTGAAATTTTAACTGCTGTTTACTTAAACATAGCACACTTCAGTTGAATACTGACCCCATGTGGGCGCAGAGACATAGACAGGAGTGGCCGTGTTGTTGGTGCCATTGTACCAGCGACGGAGGAAGTCTGCCCCAATCCTCAGAGCTCCAGTACCCCCCAGACACTGCACTGCTCCCACCTGCAACACACAAGGGTTTACTTTCATTACTTATTTTTAATCAGTTCAGATGTTTTCTTTTGACTAAGGTTATTTTAGATTTTGTCAAATAAAGGCAACATTTATAAAATAATTAAATCTCATCTTCAAAAATCATTTTTATCCAGTGTCCACTGGTGGAGTCATTCCCAACCTGGGGGGTCCCTGGAGTTCATAGAAAAGCTGTCTAAACTACATTGAGTTTTAAAGAAGGAATGGCATTTTAATTGCTTCTAAAGTATTTTCTAATGTTCTATAACATCATTATTAACCAGAAAACAATGATATTTTCCTTTAATAAGACAAAGGTTTCTCAGGTGAGAGAAGGACGTTAAGGAGTTAACATGGGGTCGCTAGAAGAAAAAATTGAAAAGCACTGCTCTAATGAGCCAGCCACATAACACATAATAAAATGTGCTGGGCAACTGCCGTTCCTTCCAAGCAAACTGCCCAACTGTTATTTTATGTTCCCTCATTCCCTCCCTCGTTCCCTCTATGTCTGTTTATTACTAAACGGTTTTGCCCTTTTTAAACACAACACTGTCCCCTGGTGGCCGCTGCTCACCCTGTTCTCTGCGATTGCACTGCTCTCATCTCCCAGAGCCACTTTGGAGGCTGCAGACCTGAACTCTGGCAGTCCCAGAATGGGAAGGTACTCATGATTCAAAGATGTATCCTCCACAATAAGGCGCTCCACCTTCTTCACCACCGGCAGCACCCACGGCTGGCAGTCATCTGTACGGTACGCTAAGAGACAAAAATGATACAATGTTATTTTAGGGCTGCATAATATTAATAATTTCTATTTCTATAGTACTTTTCTGAGCAAGTTCCAAAGTGCTTTACATACAATCAGAAAAGAATAGAAATTAAAAACACAGTTTAAAAAGTACTAAAGGAAATACAAAAATACTGACAAATGCCTTTTCAATCATCACAACAACTGTATAGATTATGATATCAGAAGTGTTCGGCCCTAGTTTGCAAACTAGACACAGTATTACACATGGCCGTTTTTACACATTTTAATTTGGTAGGTTTTTACAGTATTCATTTTAGACAAAATTTGTCCCCTCACTCTCCATACCCTTCCTGTGTTACTGTGGCAGAGTGGTTATTCCGTCTCCTACCCCTCAGAAAGGAGGATGTGAGTTAGAATGCTGAGCTTTCCATGTGGAACTGCATGCTCTTGTGAAGCAAGAGTTGTTTAGTTGTGGCAACAGTGTAAAACCATAAGCATAAAGCCATAATCTTGTATGTGGGAAAGCCTAGAATAGCACAGTAACGTGAGTATTATCAAAAATCTGAGGTTAACCTTAATCAGACTCTAAGATTCCACTGATCCATTGTACATTTAATTACTGAGAATCGTGTTGCAGCAAGTCAGAGCCACAGCTGCCAAGAGCCAACAACCCCTTGAACAACCAAACACAATATTGTCATGCAACAACAAGATCAAATCCCACATACAATTTAATCATGGTATTCTCCTCACAATAAAAACCTATTATTTATTAGGCTTCAAGACCCAAATGCAAATCTAAGTAGGGTGGACAACATATCATTGCCAATATTGGTATTAGTAATATTACAGGATTTGTTCAGATATTGTTAATGAAAAAGTATTGTGATATCAGACCAACATTATTTTCTTAGTTGGCCTAGTCTATGTGCCCATGTGTCATTCGGTTTGGTCTCAGCGCATCAGATTAATTAGTTAAACTAGCAAAGCAATAGAAGATGCTATATGTTCTCATAATCATTATAAAAAAATATATAAATATAGCATATAACATTTCAATATTTTTGTGAAAAGCTAATTTGTGAAAGTAGATTTTCGTGGGCCATTATTTTTGGCAAAAATCAATCAACAGTCACAATAAATAAATGGATACAAGTTTGTTTCTTTTTTTTACTCAAAATCTGTATGGTAGGACCTCTGTGTTACATCATTTGGAGCAGTGGGTGTAAGTTACCTGCATTTTTGACTAAGGTTAGGACAATAAATGATAATATCTTTTATTGTGATAAAAAGGGTTGACTATAATTGTTTGTAGGACATCTTATATAACTGTGATAATAGGCAACAAAGATAATCAACATTATATATTGTCACCAGAAAGGGCAGAGAAAGTTATCCATGATGTTTTCTTCTAGATCACTGTTGTTTTCACTTTTCAATTCTTTTCAGTTATTCATAAACTGTCAGCAACTTTCATCATTATTGTGAAATAATCATTAATCACAATTATATTGTCCATGATACTCGTGACATCAAATTTCAAATATCATCCCATGCCTATTTTTGACTCCATAGGAACTCCATGAATCCTGTATCAAGTATCACAGATTCAAAGTCCTGCTGCGTCCCAGACAAGGAGTATTACAAGGTCAATCCAGTAATAGTGGGTGTACCTTATCACAAAGAAAAATTCAAACAAAGACTAAATTTGAACTAAATCAGATAAAATGGGACCAACCCAGATGCAACTGATTCAGAAATACATGACATCTTTCCAATATGCCGTAGAGCTTCTTGGTGTGATTTAGGAATTATATGCAAAGTCAAACCAGCAGTGAGGTTAGCCACTGTAGTGTAAACAAACTTACCAGAGTATACCAGTAAAATACAGAGAGCTTTTAAATTCTGGTCTAAAGAGAAAGAGGGTAACAAAACATAAGTTGAATAGCCCCGAATTACACCCTCTGTAACTATTATGCCAGAAGATGCACATTTTAAGAGGTTTAGACAGTAATTGTTATTAATTGTTCCAAAATAAATAACATACAAAAGCAAAGCGTTAACTTTACTGAAAAACAAAATGTAAAATCAATAACAGACCGTTTTTGGCAATTTAAGGAATAGAACTACTTAAAGCAGGAATGGGGAGTTTTGTGTTTTTAGTTTTCTTACATGATAAATCGTATTCCTTCAACAAGAATAGACAGACACCAAAACTAACTTTTATGACAAAATTATAATTATAGCATACACCAATCTAAGCACTAAACTGAGCAATCACAAGCCATGTCACGCTTTTCTAAATCCCTTTCATTTCATAAACATTTGCTGCAACTGTCAAACTATAGGCTAATTCGTGGTTGCTAGCTCCAATGTTAGCATGCTGCAAAGGTCAAACCATAAACAATGACCGTAAATAGCCCTACGATCATAAATATTAGGTTTGACTGATATGGAAAGTTGTCGTAATAATTAGGATCCAAGTGCATTGTCATGAGTCGTAGTTCTCCCATTCATTCTTCCAGACAAGGCTAACTTAGTATTAGCGTAGCATTAGCTTGGAGGACGTTCATAACCCAGGCGTTTCAGTGAGGGGCGGAGCTATGGTAGGTCACTTGCTTAGTTGTTGGAATTACCTTGGAAAAATGGGAAAACTACTCAAAAACAAACAAAAATAGAGTTTATAACTATAAGAGAATAGGAGAAAATTTCTTTGTTTTTGCGTAGGGTGATCATGGGAAATTCACACATCTTTCACTTTCATCGGTCACTACTTTCATAAGATTACTTTTAAATCGTGCATTTTAAACGTAATTTAAGAGTGTTTAATAATTACTTCAATCCTCATTCATGACCATACATTAACAATACAGTTCATGATTATTGCGAAAAAGTGCATAAACTAAACCTACGCTCAATGGGACGAAATGCCAAGGATTTAGTGCGCTTCACTTAGCTTAGCATTAGCTTCCCCTACCTCCGACTCCGAGGTTCACCTTCTGCGGATGTGGGTCCTCCTTGAAATCGGCCGTAAGTTTGAAGACAGCTACCGGTGGGGCTTGGGGCACGTCTGTGAACACCGACATAGCTCGTTGGCTCTGTAAAGACAGGGAGTGTGGGGAGAATACACCGAGTTGCAGCTGATCGCAGAGACCGGAGGAGGGAGCAGGAGACGCCGGGAACAGTTCAACCTTCAGCCGCTTCAGGACGGACACAAGGGGGCGTGGGCGCAGGGAGCCAATGGGAAAGCACGCACTACGGGCGAAGTTGACAGCTTGCCAATCAGAATGCAATAAAAAAGGACACAAGAAGCAGCAATCAAAGCATTGTAAGACTGATAAGAGATCACTTTTAAGACTGATACGAGATAATAAAAGATTATTATCTCGTATCAGTCTTAAAAATCTAATTAATTGATAGTGCATAGATTTAGACTTAGACAAAATATATATCCACAAGAAAAATTTATTGGACACAGTAGCTCACTCATCACAATATAAAATAATAACAAAGAGTAAAAAAAAATATATATAAATTGTAATAATAAATTCTAAATAAGTAGCAAAAGAGATATCAAGAGATAGGTGTCAAATAAGGCATAATTATATAAATGTATATCTACAAGTCAAAGTAAAATAGAAAAATAAGTAATAAAATATAAAGTCTCAGTTATATACAAGATTATCTGATGAATGACAGGGCAAAAGGTTATCTGTTACATAGGGGTGAGTTGTACAGTTGTAGGAAGCGTTATCTGTTACATAATGGTGAATTGTTGTACATCTGTATGGAGTAAGTAAGTCCCTATTTATATAGCACTTTTCACAGACATTTTTTGTCACAAAGACACTTTACAGATCATTACATTCAGCATTATTCATTCACTCTATACCTGGTGATGGTAAACCATTGTAGTAGCCACAGCTGCCCTGGGACAGACTGAGAGAAGCACAGCTGCCATGCCAATCAACACCAACAGACTTCCATCTGCGTGGAAATGTGTAAAGGTTATACCCCTCCATAAAGGGAGTGACCCCAGCAAACTTAATAATTATAGACCAATCTCAATTATCAATAGCATTGTTAAAGTCTATGAGAAATTAATTTTTAATCAACTGTCCGAATATTTATTGAAAAATAATCTTCTATCAGTCTGGTTTTAGAAAGTATTTTTCAACAACTTCTGCTTTACTAAAATTTACCAATGATATTTTTTCGGGTTTTGACAATAATATGCTCACTGGTGCCTTATTTATTGACCTCACAAAAGCTTTTGATATGGTTGACCATTACCTTTTACTGGACAAGCTTCATTCTATAGGCCTTGACAGGTCCGCTCTCCTTTGGTTCAATTCATATCTTCATCACCGCCAACAATGTGTTTTCTTTAAAGGCAGCTTTTCAAATTTCTCCATAATAGAGAGAGGCGTGCCTCAAGGTTCCTCACTGGGTCCCCTTTTATTTTCTATTTTTATTAATGACCTTCCCCTTGCGTGCACAGACTGTGATATTCAACTCTACGCTGATGATACAGTTATTTATTCGTCTAAATCTAATATTACCGATATTCAGTCCTCAATTCAACATGATTTTAATACTGTTCAATTATGGCTACAGTATAACAAACTTCTTCTTAATAAATCTAAATCTTATTTCATGTTGTTTCAGAAACAAATTCGTCCTTTTTCTGTTAATGATATAAATTTGACATGTACCGATTCATCACCAATTATAGCAGTTGATAAATTTAAATATCTTGGCTTATGGCTTGACCCGTCTCTTTCATTCAGCGCCCACATACAAACTATTACAAACAAAATTCCATATCGCTTAAAATTACTTTATCAGTCCATCAGTTGTTTTAGCTTTTCTGTTAGGAAAAAGATTATTTCACAACAAATTTTTCCCATTTTAGATTACTGCGATATCATTTATCAAAATACTACAACTTCTATTCTCCAACCACTCAACATTATCTATAACAGTCTGTGCAGATTCATTCTCCGCTGTCCCTTCAGAACTCACCACTGTACTATGTATCACCAACTGTCCTGGCTTAATCTGTCCTCCCGACGTCAACTTCACTGGTTATTATTTATTTTTAAATGTATTAATCTCAGTTATCCTGAATATCTTAAACAGTATTTAATTCCATTTAGATCTTCTTATAGTTTACGTCATGCAGATCAGATTTTTTTTGTTGTCCCAAGAGTCAAAAAACAAATAGGAAAACACTCATTTAAATATAAAGCTCCTTCTGATTGGAACAATCTTCCCTCATCGATTCGAGCTTTAACTTCTGTCCCTTTATTTAAAAATGCTCTGGTTCAACATTTACATAACCCATGTAATTGTTTTTGATTACTTTGTTGAATTTTGTTGTTTATCTTGTTGTATCCTGTGATTATCTTTGTCTATTATTATTATTGCTATTATTATTATTATTATTATTATTTTATTTATTTATTTTTATTTTATTTTTTTCAAATTTTTTTTATTATGTGTGAAACAGTCAAGCGTGAGAGAGTGTGACTGTGTGTGTGTGTGTTTGTGGTTGTGTTGATTTTGTTGTTTTGATGCTTATTTGAATTTATGTCTCCTACTGTCTGTCCTACTGTGTCTGTCTTTTGTTGTTGTATTTATGAGGACCCCCTTGAAAACGAGATGGTGACACATCTCAAGGGGCTTATCCTCCAAACAAATAAATTCAAATTCAGACCCTCCGACCACCACTTTCATACTAGGCTATGTGGGTGAAGTGTCTAACCACTAGCACCAGTGCTAATTTCCATCTGTAGTCCCTGGCCAGGTTCATTGATTGATTGTATTTAATTGACCTTGACTATCAACTGTTCTGGAGACCTGTAGCATGTTTGGGTTGATGGGGGAAACTGGAGCACCCAGAGGAAATCCATCCAGACACAGGGGGAAACATGCAAACTCCACACAGAAATGCCCGGGCGACCTGGGGATCAAACCCAGAACCTTCTTGCTGTGAGGCATAAGTGCTAGCAACTCAGCCACCGTGCCGAGTATGGTATGAACATAGTCCTGTATCTTTCATCCGTGTCTAATTAATTGATTGTGCATAGTCAAATAACCAAAAAATAGATCCATAAAAATAGGTAATGCATACTAATAAAAACATGACTTTGTGCAGTAAAAATGCAGTAATAATATATTCCTCAAAATGGAATACACATTTTGCTATTACTGTGTTTCTTCAATAGTTTTAGCACATTTTCAAAACTTGATTTCGTTTGATTATTTGATTCAAACATGTATCTGAACAAGAGGCTTAGGTGGTCACTTTATTTGGAACAGTTCTCATCAGTTTACAGAGTTTTCAGGCTCGTTCTCAGAACACTTGACCCAGCTCCAATTCACAAACATACATAATAAGTGAATTCTCCTTGTTTTTTCAATACTACAGGTCTGTTCTCATGTGGTAAAAAACTTTGGCCCAAAAGGATGTCACACATAAGTCAAACAAGGAGAAGGGTCTCAGCAGAGAGTGCAGTCTGTGTGACTGTAGATATATACACTGTGAGATGTATCTTGTTTGATTTTCAAAAAAACATTACATGTTACAGTGCAAAGTAGTGTTGGTGTATTTGCTATTCCAACATCTTTTAATTTTCTGCATAAATATTTTTGATCAAATGCTGCAAGATCTACTTTACAATTGTCGTGTGCACATTTACATTTTACTGAATAGAATACAATTTAGACAAAGCAAAGCTGTTTCCAGTTGAAATTTCAGACCGTGTAAAATGGGAACCCCAGTGTAAGTCTGTAATAAACCGGTGATTTTCTATAGTCACTGAGAGCAGGAGTAAAACTTCTGAGCTGCTCTGTCAAATGAATGAAAAAGCACAGAAAAACACATGACCAAAATTTAAGAGTTTTGATGGTAAAACTTGCATTTGGGAGATCATCAATCAGTTTTGAATGAAAAACTGCATTATATTTGGTTTAGGAAAACAAAAAATATGTTTAAGATTTTCTGTGAACTATTGAACTTTTATAAATTCAAATTCAATAGATAAATGTGCCAAAGCGACTGGAAAAAACGATATTATTCCACATGGCATGTTTACTAATTCTCCCACCATCTTTAGTCGTTAAAATAAATACATTCTTTTATTCCCCTTAATCGCAGGGGCAGGATGGCAAGGGTGGTGTAGCCTATAAATCTGGCCACAAGTGAAATTGGAGACAAGAAAGGATAAAGGTTAACCACAGATGTCTGCTTGATTCAACGCCCAAATGCATCATCATTATGCAAGGCTTTGTTCATTACTTAATTAGTTTGCCAGAGGGATATGCATATGCCATAAAAGTATCTGCATTATTATAGGACTACCATGCAGGTCTTAACCAACAGAACTAAATTGGGCAGGTCAAACAATTATTAGCAAACATGTTACAAAGAAAGAGGGTTTTTGCTATTATAATAATGGATGAACCAGCATTACAGAATGCAATATCATGCAATTTTTGTGTTGTTTTCTCGTCTTTATTGGGGAGGCTGCCTACTGTCTACAGTTTGAAGTTTCAAAGTTTTTATGCCATTAAAATATGGTGAGCCAAAGTGCATCGTCATAGTACCAAGTACCACTGAAGTTACTTATTTTAGCCACTAGAGGCCAGTGTGTCTACAGATAATACAGTCAGAATCATGTGCAATTCCCAGACCGTGTTGGACCTTGCACGGGCTTCACATGTCTCTCCTGCGGGTATTTCTGACCAAAACACTGAGTGCTATTGAGAGATTGTGAAGTGCAAAAGTTTGTGTTATTACACTTTTTAAATAGTGGCTATGTTTTCATGCACACCCACAATATCACTGTAGATTATTATATGATTTGCCTCCTTTTAAGATTGTTTAAATGATATGCAAACCACCAAATCTGATTTAAATAACCACCAGATAATTTTGCTGTTTACATGCCATTTTAACAGTCAAAAAATCGGATAATAACCAAATTGCGAGTGTGCATGTAACTGCAGCCAATGTTAAAAGAGTAATTCTTGCTTCTTATTTAGCTTATTCTAAAAGTCAAGAAGCCACTGAAACAATCGTGGTTGGAGGGTTGTTCCCAGATCCGACCTATACCGTGGGTGTCCTTGGGCAAGACACTTCACTCACCTTGCCTGTATGCATGTGGTATATAAGTGAGTAATTGATAGTGATCAGAGAGGCCATTGG